TTTCCACATTAAATATGCAGTTGGCGGAGCCGGCGGCCACCGGCCGGAGCAGACGTGGCTTCGCTGTCCTCCCTTGGAAGTGACACTGCCGAGTGTCAGGGTGGTGGTTTTAGTCTTGTTTACAGGCAGCAGCGGGAGGCCATCGCCCCGGGACAACGCTCAGCCCTGCTGACCTCTCTGCCAGCCCCTCCCGGCTGGGTGCTGACCCTTGGTTCGGCAGAGCCGCTGCAAAGAAATAAAGCCCCTTCCATTGCAAAGTTTATCCATCCAGCAGTTTGTGATTTTAATATGAAAAATTACCTCGGTTATTTCAAAATGCTGGCAGCTGAAATTCAGTTTGGGGTTTTTTTTGAGGTTGGATAAACAGTTGGTAAGTGCCATCCGTGCCTTTAAGAACTCACTAAAAAAACCAGCAGGATTTGATTTGTTTGTACAGTGAAAAGATTGTTCTTTAATCCCTTCAGAGTTGTTGGATTTGGTACTCCTGCCAGTCGAACTAATGAAAAATCCTCTGGCAGGATGTGTCAGGAAACCCAGACATCCATCCCCTCGCCACATCTCCTCTCCCGACGATGGAGGGTGGAGCAAGGGACCCAACTCCCTGTATCCCTCTGTGAAACACGGTGCTCCGTGCCAGAAAGCAGCACAGGGATGGAAGTCGTCTTGTGTTTGATATAAAATTGGACCCAGTTATCAAACAGAAGGTATAGGAGATTCTAGGGGAAAAAAAAAAAAGCAGCCCACAAAACGCCAAACAACACTACACAATCACTTCAGCAGTTTATTTTTTTCTCCTCAGTTAGATCAGTATGGTGACCTCCACTATTTTAAAAATAGTAATATTTGTGTTATAATTTTAGATATTCCAAAATAGCAGTTATTCTTTAATGAATAAAAATTATTAATCCAGTACATAAACTTTATGAAATAGTAACAGAAATTAAATCCGGCATGTTGCACCTGCCTGGGGAGGGAAGAAGTTGCCATTAAGGAAGAGAGCAGTTTGAGGCTTCACACCAGTTGCAAGGATAAAATTAAACAAAAATAGGCTAATTGGCTCTTAAATGGAGCCAAACTGTGAGCCCCCTGGGCTCGGCTGGGCTGCTGGAGCAGGGGGACCTGTTGCCCTCTGCCATGCCCTGGGATGCCGGCGACATCCCGGGGGGCTGGCGGGTGCCAAGGCCGGGGCGCCCTGGGGAAGAGCTGCCTCTGCGCGGGCACCTGAGCCGGGACCAGCCCTTGCCACGCACTTGCTGCCGTACGTACATGTATTCTTAAAACTTGCAGTTTTCTGTTAATGGAACTAGGAATTTTTGTATGATCTAGTACGAGAGAACATCCTGAAACAACAGCAGTTTCCTCTGTTAATCAGATATCTAAGCAGCAATTATAGGGACGTGGACACAGCTATCGGTTCTGGAGAAAAGTCTGGTGAGAATTTTTTGTGGTACTATTTCAAACATATCCAATTCCAAATGTATTTATTTTATAGTAGAATACAAATCAGATAGATTTTAGGAGCTAAAAGAGAAACAATACTGAACATCCAGCCTGAAACCTCCCCAATGCTTTTTACTCAAAAGCTTCAAAATATCTCCTGAAAAGCTCCAAATGTAAAGGAATGTTTTTCTCAGAAAAACACATGCATTAACGTGTTCTGCACTGGGAATCTTTCAGATTAATCACAATGGTTGACATATTCACTGGAAATAATAAGAAAACCAAGATTATGTTCCTTTCCCTTTCCCATTGCAAAGACTTCCCTTGATATATGTGTGTGTGCGTGTGTATTTCTGTCCATGCATAACTTGCTGTCTTCTTTTGTTTTATTAATTTTTGTTAACTTATATGTTACCTGGGAGAAAGAAAGGTACCAAAGCAGTTCGGGTGATGAGGACAGGGCTCTTCAGCGTACCGATGAGAACTAATTCAGGAACCAGCCAGTGAAACTGCAGAGCATCTAGGTGCTTTCACTGTTGATATAATCCCAGGAAGAGAGCTCTGATGATCATACTATCCTTTAATTATCAAAAGAGTTCAACAGACAAACAATTGTCTTTTAATTTCCTTGTCAAGACCGAAGTACCTTGCAAGATAATCAAACAGAATTTTTCTAGAACTGGGAAATCCAACCAGAAGATTTACTCGCAATTAACTATTTAGTGTGTGTGTATCTAGAGAGAGAGTCCTTAAAAAAAACCCCCACCAAACCTCAAGGCTAACACTGGGAATATTTCTCTGCAGTTAAAAAGCCAGTGCTTATTGGTAAAGTAACTTTTCTAAACTGCACTGGCGGGTGTAGAAGAATAGTTTTAAGAGGGAAAGGTGTGGTGCCCACACGCAGTTGGCATCTGCTCAGATTCAGCGGCCGGTCCGTGTTAACAGCTCTTTGACAATACACACGTGGCTCTGCAAATAGAGGAAAGGAGGCACCGAGAAATAGGAAGATTTTTCTGAATAACGAAGGCTAACATATTAGAAGTAATGCATTTGGAAAATTACAATTGAGGAAATGCAGTACTACGTCTTGTAAACCTTTTTACTGAAGTTAAGAGCATGTTATTAATAAAATGCGTAAAATTAAAAAAATAATTTCCTTAAATCAATTGCTTTTGGGGATGTCTTAGGCAGCATTATTTTGACAATGTTAATTGTTGTCGTCGTCTTTTTTGATAAATGGATTATGCAAAATTAATTCCCTCACTATGTAGATTTAATCCACAACACAGGACCACTGTCAGGATTTTAAAGTATTTTGGGTTTTCTAATGAACAGATACAAAAAAGCCATACTCAATTAATTTATTAGTTTCAAATTTGAAATTATAAATCAGTCACTGTCTTTATCTAGGCTTTCCTGCATTTGACCAAATCTTACTGAACAAATGCTTGGAGAAAATCATTATAGGATATTTTTGAAGACAAAGTTTTATCATAATATTCCAAAATGTTGAATAACTCCTCTTCAGAGAGGTTGATGTGGTATTCGTGAAGAACCTACAAAAGACAGAAACAACTTTAAAATTTATTTCAGTGCTTTGTGTGTGCAAGAAGTAAAAACATTTACTTATCATGCTGAAATTTCTTTACAAAGTAACTTGATGATTCGGCTCTACTCTGTCTTAGAGTAAATTCTTATTTCTCAGAATATTAGAAAATCAAACATTCCTTTATTATCTCTTGCTCTTCCCATGCCAGTGCTGGCTCCCTGGGGGACCTGAAAACCTGCATACAGGGTTTTGTCCACTTGCTCAACTAGCACTTGCCTGACGCTGGGAAAGGGGGAGCACCCAGGTGCATAGAAGCTAATTTAGAAAAAGTACATGTTTAGGAGGTTTCCACTGTTATCTGGAGATGAGATGGAAGGGGTGGAATATCTTCCTTTCTGTCCTCCTTGGGTGATCTGCAGCCTTTGCATCCAGAGAAATATAAGACAGGATCCAGTCGCTCAGGCTGTGCGAGCTGCTGTGTGTGTAACACCCCCGTGATGTACACGGTGCTTTTCACCTCTGTGGGACAAATCCTGAGCTTGGAAGCACCCGCTTCAGTGAGGACCCAGCCTGACCAGGAGGCAGCCCGTGCAGCTGAGGCGCAAAGCCAGGTTAGATACTTGCATCTTTCAAATACCTCCCCCCGGTGCATTTTTCAGCACTTCAGCAGTTTCAAATGTTCTTGTTGCCCTGACGTGAAAGCAAATAACGCACTCACTTCTGAGGATCACCTCTGGGTTTAGATGCCCTTGGGAATTTAAACCCTGAAAGTAACCAGCAACACGGTGTGTACCGGGGTGCTAGGCCAGTTGGCGTTAGTCTTCTGGCAAACTTGGGTGAGTCTGCCCCGTTCCCTCTTAGGGGCCTAGCACCAGAAATCACTGATGACCCCTTGCAGATAGCACAGCCGTAAATAGCAGTGTCTGAGGTTAGTGGAGAGCTAATTTCCCTGTTTCGGTAGATTAAGTTACCTAGGAGACAAAAGGATCTGTACCTCCACAAATGGTTTGATCTCTTGTCAAACAGCAGATGAACAACTTTGTAGTAGGATTTTGGAATTGAGGACGGCTTCTTGCTCTAGATCAGCAAAGAGTTCATTCTGTGGTTGTGGTTTTGCTTAGCTTATGTCATGTCGGGAAGCTTGATTTGAAAGTTGTTGACATTGCTTCAGCTATAAATGGTAATCATCACATGTCCTAGAGGAACATGACAAATTAAAATGGGATGAGAAGGAGCCTGATCTTCACTCCTGCTCCCCGGAGCCCGGTCTGCCGAGGCAGTGCCCGAGCAGTCAGAAAGCTGCTGTGACAGACGGGGAGCCTGGGGCATGAAGCTGATACGGCTGCACCACTGCATCTTGCTCCTCAGCCTTCGCGGGGGAGCAGGAGGGACTCGGGTTTCAGCTGTGTGGCAGTGCCAGAACATAGCGCGTTCCCACCAGTCCTGAATAAGTGAAGATTTAAAAGAGCATTTCTGTGACTGGTGTAATTGAACAGTTTTATATCTACCAGGCAACAAGCCGGCTCCCCGCAGCTCCAGGGGAAGGTGAATGTCAGAGCACACCTTATCATTCCTTACTGCAGCCAAGCATTTGCTTACTGCGCTTGAGCATCCTGGCTGCTAGTTGATCAGTTTTCTGAAGTAATGATGCCAAGGGGTGTCCTAATGCAGCATTAGATGGGTTTAGGGCCCCACTCTTTTTCTTTTTTTCTTGCAGCTGAACAGTAAATATTCAGAATTACTCCAGAACAGATAGCGATTATTGTTTCCAGTTAAAACAATGTCAAAGATTTTGAAATCAGTAAAGCTAAGCAAAAATCAAACTCCCCAGGGATCTAGATGAAGACTTGCTGCCATCTGGAATACACAGGTCTGTGTTCAGGTCTGTGTTTGCCCTTTGAGGAGATACAAGAGAGCTAGACATTTGCAGAGGATACTGATCCCTTGCCTAGTGCAAAATTACTCTGTGCACAGGAGAGCAAAGAGAAACCAGAAAGAGAAGCTCTCGAATGGGGATTGCTCGAGCCTGTTTCCCATTTGGAAGCGACCAGCACCACTCGATGGGTCACAGGATCCTGCAGGGAGACTGTCAGAAGGTCTGCTGTTCCCTTCATGTGTGTTGGTGACAGGTAACATTTAATCTTTGTGTAGGGACTAAGGTTTTTCCCTGGTTTATCTAGTCAGGACCCCACCAAGACCTCAGACCTCAAGGAAGTGTAATCACATGTTGATAAAGATTACCATGAGTACTGGTCAGAGCTGAAGTCACAGAGAGGGGCCAGCATGAGTTTATACGCTCTAGTTCAGAACCATTTTCCAGAAATTTTTTCAATCAAGAAGCTTAGACATCTGTAATTTTCTGACTATTATTTGTTAAACGCAACGTACTTGTCTGAAATCTGCGATATTTAACAGTCCAGTACGACTTTCATCGTAGGATTGGAAAGTTCGCTTCATTGGTCTCCAGCAGTGCAGGATCTGGGGCTGAATCCTGAGCATTGCACTGCAGAATGACGTGGTTTGTGGTCCAGGGCTCAGCTAACAGATAGATGAGAGAGACACACGTTTACCAGCAGCCTCATGAACACAACTGGGCAGAACTGTAATGCGGGATGAAAGATGCTGGGCTGCAATACTGCCTTAATCTGCCACTAGCTGCTGAGCACTTGTTTACAAATTATTGCAGGATACTGTTTACACACGATGATTTTAACCTATAACATTTTGATATTCTTGGGAAGTGCAGATGGTATATTTACTTAATCACTGTCAAAGCCCTAACTTTTCATTATTTGAAACTGATTCTGAAGTCAGTGTTACTTCTGCTCAAGATCTCAGTGTTTTCACATGTTTTGTGCTTGCCTTGTTTCCACTCCCGCTTTCAGTCATTTTTAATTCTCTGCAGGGTTCATTTTTCAGAATGAATTTTTTGCTTAGAAGTCACTGAATGCAGAAACTGATGGTGGGAGGGGTACAGGATTTAATAAAAAATAAAACCCTACTGCCCGCTTTTCCCAGTACATAAAATACCTTGTAACCAGCTTTTGAACCTGTCTGGGGTTCCACTGCTGGGCGGAGGGTGGTTTTTCCTGGGGACATGTTGTGGCCTGTTGTTTTAGCCTGCCCGGGCTCGTTAGGTTGGTGTGCCCTGCACACACCTGAGCTGCACAACTGGTCATTAAGGCACAAGTCATTCCACTTGCACAGAGCTTTAACACTGGAGTGATGAGTAAACCCCAATCCACCTGCAGGCTCTGGATCTCCTCTACTACCTTTTTTTTCTTAAAACCCCCTACACCTCCATCTTGGCTTCCCCCTGCACGCTCCTGTTATTTATTACTGTGACGGGGTGCCAGCCGCAGACGTCGCTGGTGTCCCCACAAGCATCTCCTTGTGACGGGGTTGTGCAGGTGACTTTATACACGGGCTGTGTGGACACAGAGGCTGTGCTGCACCCTCGGGTGTTGTAAGAGGCCTGGGGGGCAGCTGCACCCTGGTTCTGTGCTCCTGGGGTTTCCCTCCGACAGACTGTAGCTAAGGAATGGGTACATGAATAATGCAGTTTTTCCAACCCAAAGTACTGAGTGCCCGTGGGCTGAAGGGAGGGAAAGAGCACTTGGCCGGGACTGCAGCTTGGGTTGTTTTCACTGCTCAGGGCCTGGATGCTTCCAAGAAGCCCTGGGCCACTGATCCTCTCAGGCTTTTGAGAAAGGGAAGGAGTTGTGCCTGCCACCAAAAGAAAAGCATTTTATTTGAGTTTATTGTTCCTTTGATGTCTATCTGTGCAGTCACTAGGTAAAATAGACTGAGCAAGCTATGAGGAAATTTCACTCTGAATATTACCTATATAAAGGTGCTCAGAACACGGACCGAGACGTTCATTAATTTTTTCTGAATAGAATAAATAAAATAAAAATTGAGACAACTACACAGGGATTTAAAAATCACTGCTTTATCCACTCCAGAATACTGGGATGGAATTTTACAGTATCAAGTTTGTGTATAAAGGAAACCTTATGTAAGATAATGAAGTTCTTTGATGCAAAACTTAATAGTTTTACCTTACTCTCCCTACTGGTAGTGAATACTTGATAATTCCTAATGATACTATCTTCATACCTTGGTAGCAATCTGTTCGTTCCACATCCGAAAACAGTTCGGTAATGTAATTTCTCTATAAAATGCTGCTACTAACCATATCTAAACTAATTAGGCACAGTCAGAAACAGCCTAAAAATGTAGCAGGCTCGCTGAATGAGCAGATTTGGAATTTGGCACTGTTCCTACTACATAACTTGATTGGGATGCTATTACTGACGCCTTCCTTTCTGGGCCACCAGAGCCAGATTTCTGTGTCTCCTCGGATCTCTCCTGCCCCGGAGCGGGGCCGAGGGGAGCAGCCTGGGTGGAGCGGTTTCCCTGGGACTCCTCTGCCCTTCCATGGCAGCTGGGAGCTGTTTTGGGAGGCAGGGAGAGCTGCAAGGGCACCACGTGTGCTGGCCAGTCCTGCCTATGAGATGTTTCTAGCGACCGTTAACGGCAGCGCAAGGGACGTTTTCCTCTGGGCATTTTTTGGAGTGCTGGGTGTGGAGCAGAGGCCCAGCTCGCTGACAAGTCGGGGCCATCCTAAGGCTCATCCCATACGCTTTTTATTTCTAGCTTGATTTTTATTTAGTTCAACAAAAGCTCTTAAACTGTCAGCTCCCATGTTTTCTGCTGGGAATTATTATCCGAATTTTAGCAAATTTGGCCAGTTTACCTTATAACCTGGATAGGCAGAGCGTGATCCCAAGGAGTTAAATCCTCCAACAGAAAGAGATGCCAAATGAACGCTAGGCGATTAGTATCATGGGAATAAATAACAGAAAGGAAAGTCCCCGCATCAAGTGACTATAGAAACAGGCCACATAATATCCATGTCAGAACAGCAGAAACAAAAAGAAATTGTCATTTTGATTTTTATAAGCTTTGTACCTACCGGCTTTTGTGGCTTCCGTATAATCACCCTCTGTAGCAGTGAGCTTTCCTGTGGTTTTAACAACAAGATACTGCTCTGAAGGAAGTCATAGTATGCAAATTTTCCGTTTTTCTTTAAATCATATTTTGTGGTTATTTGGCTGATTTCCCCTTCACTTAAATCCAAACTGAACTTCTCTGCTATATCTGAAATGCAAAGCAAGAATATTCATTTAGTCATTCTTACAACCAGCCCCTCACCGTCCCGTGTTTCGCCTGTTTTACCAGGGATGTGCTGCCAGGCCATCGCTGCAGCCGCTCCTGCCCGAGCGTGTTACTCAGACCTTGCTCTGGGCAGGTCTGTGCGCGTGCCTGTACTTACGGGGTGGCAGTTCACATTTTACAGGGTTCCGGGGGACTGATAACATGTCATTTTGATTTTAAATGCACAAGAGGTGCTCCTTGACGTTAACTGAGATGAAAGATCTGAAAAGCTAACGTGTTCTTATAGACAGGACTTTACATTTGGTTCCACAGGTGTGCACTGTCTTATCACACGTGCGGGTGTTCTAACAAAGGCACAGAAAATCCTCTTCAAACGCCCCAGAAGAGCAGCGTAGCTCACTGCTTCGAAGAGCGAGATCCAGGGTCCTTTCAGATCAGCAGGTGTTCAGCCATCGAGACCAGTGCAACCAGAAGCACACGCAGGCTCGGAAGGGACTGGTGAACCCATCTACTGAGCTGTGCCCTGGCACACAAAGGGTGGAGTGGTGGGAAGGGGAGGAGAAACCTGCACGGTGCTCTAGGTACCCACAAGCAAAGCTGCTCTCCTTTTCCAAGGAGGAGCTCACTGGGAACAGGAATGCCCGCGAGTTGCACCCAGGGCTGATCTGTTCCACTCTGCCACAGCAGGGTGAGGCCTGCAGCAATCACGGGCGCTGCTTGAGGCAGAGACACCAGGAAGAGAACAGAACCCATCTGAGACTGAAAAAAGCACTTTTCAGACGGTAACAAACCGAGGAAGTCTGACACTGGGATTTCTCCTCGCTTGCTGACATCCTTCTCTTTGCAGGCTCTCAGTATGCCTCTCCAGGAATGCTGGATGCTCTTTCTTATCTTCTTTTCTATTGTTTCGCAGTTCAGGACAGGTGCAGAACAAGGTGCTGTCTGAGGACAACTGGATGCTGGTGTCTAAAAGCAAGAGATAATGTTGGTTTTGGTTTTTTTTTTTTTTTTCTATTGAGTTTTACCAGTTGTGTAGACAAACCACCAGATGACGAATCCAGTTTCTGGTCTTCCAGACTCGAGATTAAGGTACCATTTGAGCCATGTCTAAGTCTGATTTGAATTTGGTCTGCAAAACTGTAGGTAAAAACGTGAGAATGTTCTTAGTGTCAAAATGACACTATTCATTTAATGGGCCTTGACCATTTTTTCTTAGTTTGGCTCTATCTGTAAATCATTTATAGTTTCTCCAAGCTGTCTCTTATTAAACAGCAGATCCTGTGTTCAAAAAAAGCTATGCAGCACCATCTTAGACCAAACACAAAGCAGCGCACAGTCCCTGAATTACAAAATACCGTTGTTTGATTTGTTCCTGGGAGGGCCCGTTCTGCAGTGGTCTGTGTGGAGCCACGGGAGGAGTAACGTGAGAGGATCCCAGTGCTCAGTGCCTGGGTGCCGCCTCGGCCCTGCTGTGGGTGAGCTGGAAGCAAAGTACCTCTGCATGCACGATACGTGCACAGGCGGTATTTGTGTTTCCAGATTCAACGTCTAATCTCATACCTAGGGAGCCTTCCCGGCGCTCCCTCGAGGGTCTCACTGGTGCAGGCGTGCTGAGGCCTCGCGCACGTTTCCGTGCAGTGAATGCTGCAGGAACGTGCCTCGTGCTCGTGCTCAGGCTGGCTGGGGCCCTTCCGACAGCCAGAAGTTTGGGGAGCCTGAAGTTCCTATTGTCTCACACTGCCCCATCTTGCATTCGCAGACAGTAACAGGCAGTTTTCCGTTGCTTTCTCTGGGAACTGGCTTAACGCACGAAAGATGCATGTAGCTAATTGTCTGGGCTTTTCAAGGAAGAACCTATAGTTAATGCAATAATTGAGCTAGCAGTGGGCCAATGTTTAGATTTACCAGCCCTGACAAGTTGTTTGCATCTTTAATTTGCTCAATCTGTTATTTCTTTTTCAGTAGCTAAACATCTCCGTGTAGAAGTAGTCAGAAAATCCAAGCATGTACCAGGCACTGAATAATTCTAAATATTTTATTTTTCTGTTGTAGGTTTGGTTGTAGCTGAGGAATGTGGAATAGGCAGGTGCAGCTCCACAAGGAGGATATTTAATGCTGCCTGTAATGCTTTCCCCACCTTTCTGTGAATTCTAGCACTAGGGCCAGAGGCCAGCATGGCAGTGCGGAGGACCAAAGTGCATTTTCGACATGTTGTATAGGTATGGATGCAAAAATGAAGCAAAACTATTGCATTTCTAACCCACTTTTAGCTCTCTCGGATCACTGGCCTTCACGGCTCGTCCACCAGTTAGACTGTCAGGCACTAAGAGCTGTAACCTGGCACCCACCAGAAAGCAGGCAAGACCACCAAAATGTTTTAGGGCAGACTGACAAACACCTCTTGGAAAACAGCAAGTGTCATTCCTGCCTAGCTTTGTCAGATGACCACAGATAAGCCATCTCTATGTTCTTACGTTGCTTTTGCAATTACTGGACCTTTGTAATTCAGGCTGTTTTCAGAACTCTGATTGTGCTTAAACACAGAAGCGTTATTTGCTGTACAGCTCTGATGGGTGGCAGCAGGGAATGCTATTGGTGTAAATCAATATACATCCTTTGACTGTAGTGGAGTTACTATCTGACCCAATTTTTGCTGTTTTAACACACTTTTGCAAGTTACCTTGTTGGCTTATTGCCAGGTGGCCGTGTCTGATTTCATGGGCAGGCGATAGGAACACCTTCACGGAGTTCCACAGGTATTATTTTTACCCTGTGCACAGAAATGAAAATCCAGAAGATTCGTGAACAACCAGACTTACACTCTTTCGCCCTACTGGAGGAGATGTCTTGGGACGTTCAGGCTGAGAAGAGGTGCGTGGGTCCTGCCCGGCACGGGCGGCTGGCCTGGTAGAAGGTGCAGAACCAGTTGCACTGGGAGTACTTGATGGCATCGTTACAAGTTCTGAGCTGAACTTCTTCAAAAAGTCCTGATACTTCAACCGTCCACCAGCACTGACATCCACCGTGTTCCAAAGATTTTCAAACTAATGAAGAAGCAAAAGCTGACTTTCGTAAATGTTGGTTTGACAACCACAGAATCCCCTTATGGACTAAGGATATGACAGAATCTATCAAAAAGACAGGGAGAGGATGCCTTGGACTAGAAGGAATCCTAGGGCCCATCTTATTAAAAAAACCCCACCAAAAACGCAGCTTCTCTGCAGAAATGTGCACAAGGCTGGGAAAACAATGAAAAAGGGATTTCTGCAGGACATTTTTTAATTGAATTGGGCCCTTAGTGTGCTGTTTAAACGACTAAACCCTGTGATTAGACACGGCGATGGAGCTGCAGTAGGGAAGAATAACGCTTTAACGTGGGATGTAAATCAAACACATGGTGCACCTGTATCCTGGCTAAGTACCACTGAGGCCAGTCTCTCATGCTGTCAGGTGCACCTAAGTTACACCACCACCTCAGGAGGCCATTAAGGTTCCTCAGTTATTGTATTTGCATCAACAAATTATTTCACCCTGAGGACAAAAGTGAATCAGCATGAAAGAACATGGTAGGAAATCTTTAGAGCCTTTAGACTGGCGTGCAGTCAGGGTGTAGGGTGGGGAGCTGTGTCTCCCCAGCACAGGCAGCCTCCAGAGCACCCGGGGCAGGTGCTGGCTGCTGCTTCTGGAGGTCCTTGTGGCGGCTTGGCCCGGCACAGGGCCGGCAGCCCACCCTCCGGGCTACCTATGGAATCGTAAGGGTGAGGCTGGGCTGATTTCCCACTGAACAGCACTTTATTCTGTAAGTAGCTGCACTGAGTTAAATGGGACTACTCATGATGTAAGCTGCTAATCAAAGCGAGGATTATCACAGCCTGCCCTTAAATGAGCTGCACTCATTTTGCGAGTGTTTCAAGAGTCATCAGTATGCCTTTTTAGGGTCTTCATTATTGATTTTTAATATAAATCTAATTGGGAACCTCAGATTGCTTTTGATTTGATCTTTTTCGGCAGAGACTTAAACCCTAAAGGAAACCAGTCACCTCTTTGATGCATGTGCCAAGTTGCAGTCAAACTTCAAAGGGCAAAGGATACATTTTGAATTTCCTTTCAACTTTCCCCCACTGGCCTGGCTGCTACCACATTATGAATTATAAACAATTCTATTTTGCGCTTGTGATTATACTTCACACTTCATACGAGGATCTCAAAGTGTATTACAAACCTCAATTAAACAGAACAATACCCTGATGAGCTGCGGTAGCTATAGTTAGAAGTGACTTCAACACCCAGCGAAGTCTAACTGTTTGGGGATTGCAGGGAGTTGGAGCAAGTCAAGGCAGCTCAAGCAGAGAGGAGAAAAGTGCCTGTGATACAAAGGGGGATGTCAGTTGGCAAGGTATTAATCAACACCTTGCTTGCGGCGTGTTTACCATCCTTAGCCTTTTGTGAAAAAGGTCACTATCACAAATTCAGAAGACCAAGCAGCCAAATTTCAGGAAGAAATTCTTCATCCATTTACTCGACACAGACTCCAGCTGAGCCTTGCTAATAGCAAACAGTAAGTGGCCATCATCCAGAAAAGGATAAAAGAAGACATTTTCTGTGAAGTCATCCAAACTATGACTATTAGTAACACTTCTGTAACAACTCTGAGCAGCAACAACAGCCAGAATGGCAGGAGTTTGGATTAGCGGTGGCAAAACCTGTGCCCAGATTGGAAGGCTCTCCTGGGGCTGCTTCATATAGATACACGTAGGCATGTCTTTGAGAGGCCTGTCAAAATCAAAATATCTCTGGAGATACAGGGCTTGAGTCTCACTCACACAGAGGCTGCTGCTTATATAAATGACGCTCCTCAGGCCTGCTTCTCGTTGCTATTATGGATGACAGTTCCTATCAAGATTTTTTTTTCCTCACTTGTCTGAGGTTCTTTTAAGTATAAAATAGCTCCTGTGTCCCTTCGCCTCTTCGTGAGTGTAAAGTAGACAGGAACCAGTCTGGAGGACTCTGCAGTTGGAGATGCCTGCCTTACTGCTTCCAGTCACCCCGAGAGATTTGTCACAGCTCGTGCCTCCTGCCGCGGCCAGGGCTCAGCCCCGAGCTCACCCTGGTGCTTCTGCTCAGTGGTTCACAGGGATGGAGAAAGACTTATCACCACATCTTCACCTTTGCTTTCACCGGGGGGTGAGGCTCCAGGTTCAGAGCTGACACTTGCACTTGGTACCTCGCCAGAAGCGTGGCTACTAGGAACAAATCACACACGTCATTCTGGAGGTTTTTTCTGCTGTTTTCAAGGGGAAAGTAGAAAATATTTTTCTCGGTGCTTTTGTTTGCAACTTTACACATGTGTAGCAGTGCCTGATAACATGTCAGACGCTGTGCTGTAATTACAAGCAGGCCCCACTCCTGTCTGCAATTCATAGTCAAAAATGCTGGGCCAAGAACTCAGGGGTTGTATCTGCGATGAGCAAAGCACAAAATAATTTTCTGTAGTGCAGACATGCGTACGAGTTTGGAGGTTCTGTGTCTTGTCTTTCAGTCTGCTGCCAAATGGCATTGATGCAATTGTGAGCATGAAGGTTAGAGTCCTGTTAAATAAAACCTGAAATCTTTTAGTCAAGGGTCCCTCTGTTTTATTATTTACCTAGGAAATTTGGACTTGGAAAAATCACATTGAACCAGGATCAGCAAAGAGTAAAAAATGGCTCTTTTTGTTTTAAGTTCAGCAGAAGCAAAACTTTGTGAAAGATTGGCCTCTCGGGACCCCCCAAGATGAGCACTGGGCTAATCGGATGGTTTGTCCTGCCAGATTCGTGCCATGACTTGAGTCACTCCAGCTAAATTCAAGGTTACATAAACTCTGCTAATGCTAATCTGGTGGAATCTTTAACCAAGAAAAGTAGCTGAGAGGTGGCCGGGAAATGTCAAATGCTTGCCCCTTTCTTTGTCCGAGGAGGGCAGGACAAAATAGCTACTGAGAAAAAGGAATTTGCATTAGCTCCCTATGGAAATACTTTTTATTCCATGCTGAGAAGGCATTTTCCCCCCATCAACTGGAAGTGGATTAATTTAAAATTAAAAAAAGAAACTTTTAAAATAGCAAATGTACAGATAAAGAGCTAGTGAAAGAGAACTACTGTGCTTTAAATTCACACCTTCGCTATTAGCAATAGCATCTCCGTGACTTTGCTTTAGAAAGCCTGCGATTATTATAGTTCATAACCATGCTCAGAGATAAGGAAAAAAATAATCTCCCACAAATGTAGCAACAAATGTTCATGGAATGATAGTCTTAAAACATTTTCATTTCATCCAAATTTTTAAACTACTTGACTATACACAGCAGTATGCAAACACATGTCTCTAGCCATAGCCAATTTACCCAGTTGTACACTTAAATTAACAAGACAAAATAATATATTTTTCTTACTTTTCTTCAGTCAGCTGCTGAAAATGTCAGTTACATATATCCCAGAAGTCCTCTTTTGATACTGTATTATCTTTTGAAGAGTAAATATCTTTAAACTCTGGTGCAAGTGTCTGGAAGTCAACCGTCACTACTTCTTCTATCTGTGAGAGGATGCCTCTCTCTGACAGCTCCCAAGCAGATTTAGGCGGAATGACTTTTTGCCCTTCCTCAGTCTAGACAAAAAACATACACAGAGAATCAGTAATGGATCCACTGAATAAATTATAAATCGCAGTGTGGCATTCAGCCAGTGGAAGAGGGAGACGTCCATGGAGAAGGCAGCCAGTGAGATTCCGCAGGCAGTAAAACCTGCTTCCAGGAATTCTGGCTTGCACCACAAAAGAGAAAAGGGGCTATGCAAGTAGTTAAGGGAAAAAATAGACTCTCTATAAACGTGATCCAACTGGTGACAGGCCAACAAAAGCACAGGATTCCAAGACTGACCTAAACTTTTAGAAAGGTCTAAAAAATTGGGTGATCTTACAAAGAGGTCTATTCTGTTAATGTGGAAAAAAGGGAAGTGAGTGCTAACTAGCCCAAATATCCCAAAGGTATTCTTCTCATCTGAATAGTCTTTAGCAAGCAGTGGAAATCTCTGATTGAAAAGGCACTTCAGTCCTGAGATGAAAGAGAGGGCAATTATGTCCCTTTCCTTTCTAAGTTCCAGGTATACTTGTGGCGGTGCTTTTTAATCTGGTCATCCACAGTGGGGGTACTGCAGCCAAACGGGGCAGTTGAAGGCTGCAAAGGTACAGAACGTGTGAGGGGAAAGCACTGAAGGGGTCGGCCACAAGCAGCTCAATGCCAGCACAAGATGTGCACAACCCCCTTGATGTCAGGGTGCTGCTTTCACATCTAACAGCGGTGCGTGGCTTTAAAATCCTCCGCGGGGTCTTATTCCTGGCCAGAGTCCCCCCATTGTGCATTCTGCAGGGTGGAAAGCCACGCTTTGGGTAAATACAGCAGAAGGTCATAGGGCAAGCAGAAATACAGAGGGCAGAATACAGCCGGTTGGAATAAACTGCAGAGGAAAGCACTGCTAGGCTTCGTATGGGCGTACCTGAGAATGCCAGAAGTCTAACTGCGTGCAGAAGGCCACGTTTCATAATGTTAAATATCAGTGAAATCTATTCAACATTTACATTCTACCTCCAGAATGAGCAGTAAACTTCAGTTTTTAAAATGGAACCAAATTTTACTTATAAAATTAGTCTCAGGAGTGGCACCAAGTGGAATAATAATAAACAAACAAAAAAAAGCAGTATCAGAAATTTGAAGAAGAAACTACTTATTTTCAGGAATGGAAGCTGACTTTCCACCCACTTGCACTGTCTAAACTAAATATATAAAATATCTTGAAAGCAAAGTTTTTAACAAACACAAGTGGCAGTCAGTTTTACTATAGCTGTGGTAAGAGGTCCTGGTTAAAAAAATTAAAAAAAAAAAAATAAATCTGGTTTTGGTTCAGAGACATTTCTTTACAGCATGTTAAATGTTACTGTCATATTTTATACCCCCATGTTTAAGCGTATAAGCTTTGCCACCTTCTTGCTCCATGCAATATGAAATACCAAAAAAGAAACAGATGGCTTTTGGTCCTGCGCTCCTGTTTCCTTGTCACGTCTCACATGATCATTATAACTGGATGGAAAAGAAAATATGTTTCTTAGAGAACTGCAAGAAACCTGCCTCCTAATGAGAAAAGACTCCACTATATTCAGATGTAAATCACACTTTCCAGTATTAACCATGCTTTACATAAAACATACGTGTGGGACAGGCATTACGGCTGCATCATCATTATTATTATTATTATTATTAAGAGCAGAGAGGCAGAACCGTGCGAGCAGACACGGCGGCCGGCCTGTGCCGGGGTCAGGAAATGAAGGTGCCGGGCACGGTCCTGGGCAGGGCACACCTTCTGCCTGCCTGACATTACTGCAACTAAACAGCACCGTACCGCTGCTTTTAATTACTCTGGTGAAGCCAAAGACTTAGGGGAAGCACTCGTGCCCTGCAACCTTTTAAAGAAACATATTTTGCGAGTGCGAGTTTCCCTAATTTGTTTATTTTCAAGAGCTTTTTTGTTTATTTCATAAGACCTAATGCACTTTGGTCTTAAAATGGTTAGAGAGCCAATAAAAAAAGAAATTATTTGTGCTTCTTGCAAACTAGAAACCCTTTTCTATTCAGTTACAGCATTACATTCCTCCACCGCATGCAGTTCGCACATGCAGTGGGTATCTGTGACTATCATCCGCAGCTAAAATAATCACCTTTAGCTGAAATAATGGAGCTGGAGCCTGAAATCTCAGACTCTGCACCGGCCACCTGGACACCTAAGTGCCATTTCTGCATTTGGAACTAACCTTACAGACAGCGCGGGTGCATTTCTTGGCTTTGCTTGTCTTGCTTTAGCCTCGAAGGGGAGCAGCGTGTGCCCTGGCAGTGCTGACGGGCCATTGCTGGAAGAGCTTCTGTTGGAGAGAAAAGGGGTTGTGCCTCTCTCAGAGCTTTCCGGGTACGCGTTGCCACGTGCTCCGCTCGTCCTCGCCAGCCCTGCCCGTGTGGCACCTCAGAACCCGGGCAGTCCCCGCCTGCCCCGCTCGGCTCCTCGCGGCCTTTTCGCCCTTCCCGGTGGCCCTGGAGAGCCCCTCGGGAGGGCCCTGGAAATCCTCTGCCACCTCCTGCTCCCACCAACAGAGGGGAGGCGTTGTGATGAGGCTTTTCTTATGGGCCACACCATGTAGCTCGCTTGCTGCTCGAAGCAGGGCTCTATTTTTCTTCCTGAGAAAGTTCCTTGCACAGCCTCATGTCCTTTTCTATAAATGGCATAACTATGCTGATTAGTAATAAAAGAAGGCTCTTCCACCCACACCTGCTCAGCGAAGCTCCATTCCTGCAGCTCCTTCCTGTTTCTGGAAGATTTTTCTATTAAGAGGCATTCTTAATTAGAAGTAAATCGGTACATCAAGATAAGTCACCATTTCTTTGGTCCTGTTCCCCGCCCTGTCACAAGTCTGACCTCCCTCCCTTTCTGGGGAGGCTCAGAAAGCAAAGGGCTTGGGAAACAGCTTACACAAGGCAGCCCTTGTGTCTTCCCCTGAAAAAGGAGACGTTTTCCTCTTTGTACGTGAGGGTGACCTTTGCCAGAAGTAATCATCCTTTTGACAGTTTACACAGTTTGAGAGGCTTCTGTGCTTAGCCCATGGGCCCTCCTTTACCCTAACAACACGGATCTTGAAGCCGTTTTCCGTAAAAGCTCTTCCCTAAGGATGTGTGGAAGCAGCAGAGTGAGATGCTTGAGCATGGATTGGGGTGGAAATGCATTTTCTGCTCCTGTTCAGATAAGCAGCATCTCCGCAGCCAGGCTGCTGTAGCTCTGAGTCTCAGCACGGTACAGGAGCTTGTACTGCGTCCCCGGGTTACAGCAGGGCTGGACCCTCATCGGCAGGGACCAGTCCAGCTCCATTCACCTGAGCGCTGGGGTACGCCTGCTGAGGGTTTGATAGCTGGCGTGCAACAGGAGCTTGCAACAATAAACCCAATTATATACAAAAGATGAAAACTCCACTGAGGGTCACTCTGTAATGCACCGTTTTCCTTTTGGCCAACTGTTTGCACCAGACAGACCGAAGTTCCGAGGTCCCAGCTGCAGGAGGAGACGCGGGGGGCAGCGTTCAGGACGCGCGGCGGGATACGATGGTTTGACAAAATGGTTTGACACGATCAGTCAAAGGTGGCCCACGTGCCAATCTATGCCTTGTCTAGAAAAATGCCACAGTGCTCTAAATGTAATTAAAATAACTACTGTATTAAATAGCTATGAGATATTAAGCCTAGGCAGAAGCGAGTAACGAAGCAGGAGGCACAGGGAGGCTTCCCTGCTCTCTGCCTCCCGAGCGGTGTGCGGCCCGTCGTGCCCGATGGGCTGATTCTGTGTTCCCCACTTTCTCCTCTTCCGCTACTCTTTGTAAATACAGAGTGAAAGGCTTCCATCCCAGGGAACGAGTCACCTTTGAAAAATTCCATTAGACCCTTTTCTTCATTGCTCAGACCAGGGAAGGGAAGGGAGATACAGCTGTCTGTGGAGTGTATTCTAGAGAGTTAATCAGAATGTAAAACTCATCAATGTATGTCAAAGCCATCAAGAGATCCGCGTGACACATAAAACATTTAGAAACAATTTCCACAAGAATTTTTTTCATCTCCCCTTATTCAGCTGTTTTCTAGGAAAAAACACAACTTAAACCTGTATGGCTTTTTGGGTTTGTGAATGTTTGCCTTTGCGGTTGTGGGTTTTATTTATGAGGTGCCGGTTGAGACAAAAGTCATCTCAGACTCATATTTTACTAGTTCAGTAAATTTTCCATACCTTAATGATCAAGCTGCATACTTTACTTGTTACTTTTTAATATACTTCAGTGATCAGATTGTATAGCATAATGATCAGTTTTCCTAACGTGCCTGAATGAGTCGCATACCTCATTAATTTAGATACAGACTTTGCAGGCCAAAATTGTAGCATGTGTGGATGAAGTGAATAATTTAACAACCAGCCTTCTCTCATAACCTGCACAGGAGCCCAGGAATACGTGTGAACCCAGGGTGGGATGAAATTGCAAAGGCGTGGGAAATTTTGGGCTGAACCCAAATGGAAAACATGAGATTTGAGAGCATCTGGAAGCTGAACCAGCACTCGTGAGCCTGCTTTGTGTTTGTTTTGTCTTTTCAAAAACGTTCCCTTGTGGATTAATTTGGGATTTTAATGATGGATTTATCCCTTCTGCCCCTAACACAGCACAAAAAAAACCCAACCCCAAAACCTACGGTGAACACTTAACCTTGAAAAAAAGCAGTACAGGCTGCAGTGCTGTCACGGACCGAGAACCTCCTGAGAGATGCGGAGGCAGCTTGTTTGTTCGCTGAGTTGAGGTGGAAGGGACTCGGGGTCTTGGAGGACTGACTGTCAGAGAGACTTGGTGTTAAAAGGTGCCTCTTGCCGAGGCTGGCCCAGGAACCGGCGCCTTGTCAAGCTCTGTAGGAGGCTCAGCCCCGTCCCTAACAAAAGCAGCTACCTATTCTAAAGTTAACGCGAAAGGGGCCAACGTTACAGCGCACAAACACATTCTTAAAATAATTACACAGATGTTCTATTTCATACAACTGGTCTTTAGGCTGATATGACTCAGTTGAAACTTACCGAGCGTGTACGTGCACAAAAGCAGGAACGGGGGAAATGCGGCGTTTTCTAACCTACACAGAGTATTCCACTGCTTCACACTTGAGAACCATGTAATCTAGTATATCTGTTAAGGTTGTATTTTAATTTTAATAAGCAGAAAATATAAATATTTAAAAATCCGCAACTATTTTTTTTTTAAAAAACCCTATAATTAAATGTAGTCCTGCCACTAAGGACAAAGTAACAGTTGCACTACTATAAATATTAATGCTAAATTTACAGAGAATAAAATAAATTTAAGCAACCTTATAAAATTTTGAATAAAGCTCCACTTACAATAAGCACTTTAGCAGAGCCATGCCTGTTGGTAAGTGACACGCACAGATAAAATCTCTAACCTGCTACCAAGCCACTTACTTCTGCAGCTGTTTATGGGTCCTTCTTCATTCCAAACATGTGGTCCCTCCTCCTCCTCCTCTCCTGAATTGTCCAAGCCCTGCAATTATTTGAAGGCTGACAGACTTCGACTCAGGATGTGAAGAGGCTGAGGCAGATCTCACTGGTTTCCCAGCTTCTACTTTATGACACAAGATTTCATCACTGTATGGCTCTATACGGATTTGTTTAGCACAACATTCCATTATCGCCATGGCAATAAAGTGGTAGGCTTTTTATATGGTTTTCCATTGGGTGATGGTTATTATTTTTCTCATTTTATTTGTGCTTCGAGCATATACTTTTGAAAATGAAATATAGTTACTTCTTAGAACATAAGATGCAAGTTGTTTTTTTTTTGTTTTTTTTTTAGAACTGCTCTTTCTCCCGTTAGTGCCCAGCTTTCCCATCCTTAGCCAAGTTCAGAAGTGAGCTGTAAAGGGAATGTCATTTGGGCTCCTGCACCCTCTGATCTCACACCTGCTTCCCGCTGAGTAAGGCGGACTAAGAGGGGAAAAGCCAGAGGAAAGGGAAGGACCATGAAATTAAAATAGGACAGAGACATCTTTTACTTACACCTGCTGTTAACATTCCTGTTATTTACAAACACGGTGAGTGTTGGCTCAGCGCTGCGCTCATCACCGCTGTGAGTATGAACTAAAGGGTCTGATGTGCACAGAGTGAACGACTCCCGGTGGGGCACTGCGGACACAAACCTCTGTCACGGAGAAACAGCAGCTCTAATTTAACTTGAGTTGTTGCCACATGCATATTCAGAGCATCAGAAAACTCCGGCCACGACCACAGTCAAGATTGTCTCTGTACTTGACCTTCCTGCTACACCTACACCGCTATTACTCTGTGGCACCGAGAACCTGGTGGGCTTCCCATCCACTCAGCTTTCTGTCCAGCCCCTGCCAGTCCTTCCAGGGGTCGCTGGGCATACTTGGATATCCCGTGGCCAGCACTGCCCGCCTGGGGCACTCTGGCTGCATCCATGGGCGTGCTTTCAGCTTGCCACACGTACAGACCCAAATCTCTGTAAGAATTAACTGCTTAGAGCTCTTCGTGAGGAGATGAGGGCTGCACAGGCAGAAATGAGCAGAAATGTAAGTGAATTTCACGTGTTCCTTAGTCAGCCAATTCTAACGCATCAGATTGTATCTTTTAAAGAAATATATTATAGCTTGGTAGCTCTTCTTACCCCTATGAGGTGGTTTATGTTATTCAGGAAAACTTTCCAGTCTACTGTGAAGTCTTCACAAAGACTGAGGTTCTTGAGAAGGTCCCTGAACTGCTTGTCTGTTAATTTAAAGCAGAAATGGTCAAGCACTTGCCAAAATTCCAGTGTTTTAATTGCTCCAGCATCGTCTTTATCAAATAGAAAAAATACCTGAGAAGGATGAATTCACATTATTTAAGCAAACCTAAAGAAGTCTTTTTCAGCAACCATTCAGCAGTTCGCATGGAAACACCCAAGACCCATATGCATTTTACTTACAGGTATTTTAT